CTTGAGTCCCTGCCACCCATGTGGGAGACCTGGGTGGACTTCCTGGCTCCTGGCTTCAGCATGACCAGTCCCAGTTGCTGCAGCCTTTTAGGTAGTAAACCAGCAAATGGAACAGCCTCTCTCTCTCTCTCTCTCTCTCTCTCTCTCTCTCTCTCTCCAGCAGATAAAACAGCTTCTCTCTCTCCTTCTCTCTCTCTCTCCCTCTCTCCCTCTCTCTCTCTCTCTCTCTCTCTCCAGCAGATAAAACAGATTCTCTCTCTCTCTCCCTCTCTCCCTCTCTCCCTCTCTCCCTCTCTCCCTCTCTCTCCCTCTTTCTCTGTCACTCTGCCTTTCAAGTTAAAAAGTAATTTTTTTTTAAAAAAGGGGCAAGTTTGATTATTTCTATGCTATCACTGTAAGCACTGGCTGCATTTCATCTGAGTCACAGTTAATGTAAATTCGTACCTACTGGCATTCAAATGGCTCACTTGGTAGCACCTAAGACTCTCTCGTGCCCACAGAGGTTGAGGCTCTGGACTTTGGGAAGCCCTGTTCTGGGGTCTGGGCGGGGTCAGGCAGCTCTCCATGAAGCGCTCATGGGTTTAATGGATCAGTGAATATCTGCCTAGACCAAGGTGTGCAATGCTGCAGGCCAGGGCCTTCTATGTCCAGGCGGGGTGGGAGGGGCCCCACCTGCGGTTGTCTCAGGGAGGTGTTGAGGTTTCAGAATGTGGCCGTGGGCCTTTCCTGTGCATCCAGGTCAGTGTGTGTCTGTGTCTATCTGTGTGAGAGTTCATGAGATCATGTGCACAGGCCTGGGTGGGAGCTGGCTTGCCTGTACCCAGCACAGCCCAGGGCAGGGTTAGCCCATGTGATGGCCTGGGTTGGGGTCTGCTTTCTCTCAGGGCCAGAGCTGTGGAGTGAGAGAGACAAAGGGGGCTGCCATGGTGGGCCCCCAACCCTGCCAAACCTCCTGGGGGCCAGCAAGAAGAGGGGTCCCCTCAGAAGCCCTCCCTGGAGACTAAGCCATCCTGGGGCCTGGAATTCTTTTTTTTTTTTTTAATGAGCATAAATTTCCAAAGTACAGCTTATGGATTACAATAGCTTCCTCCCCCCGTAACTTCCCTCCCACCCACAACGCTCCCCTCTCCCACTCCCTCTCCTGGGGCCTGGAATTCTGGAAAGTTCAGGGTCACCCTCTCATCCCACCAATGGGAAGAATGGGCCTTGAATAGGGAGAGGACTGGCCAGAGATGCTGAGCACAGAAGAGACAGGGCCAGGCCCTGGGGTCCTCCTTGTTCCCCATGCACCTTCTCCATACACTTCCGCCAAGCACCATCAGCCAAAAAGACAGCCTACATGAAGAGAGAGCAAGTGCTCCGACATGCTAAGCACATGGAAAAGTACCTGCACTGAGCACTCCTGTCGGGTGCTGTTTTCAGCACTTCCAATATACAAACACATTTTGCCCTCCAACCATGAGGCAGGACTATTATCACCCCATTTTATAGCTGCAGAAAGTGAGGCCCAGGGTCACACAGCTGGTAAGCTGGCTTCACTGGGCAACCGCACATCAAGCAGAAGAATGGAGGCACGTGGAGAGAAAGAATCTTCATGGGACTCAGCCTCTGCTCCAGCATGGCGTGTGAAGTCCAAGGAGCTGCTCTCTGTTTTTCCAAGGCTGACTCGGGCTCACTTCACAAATGATGAGACCAAATTCAAGAAGGCGGAGTGATTTGCTCAAGCTGACACCATTGTCCCCACATTCTCTTGTCTTTTTTTTTGGGGGGGGGGGGAGGCTGGGGATGCTCAGAGAAGTTAAGTGGCTTGCCTAAGGGCACACAGTAAACAAATGGCCAAAGCAGCACCTGAACGGGGTGCCCCTGATTTGAAGCCTGTTGTCTTAACCACTAGGCTCTCCCACCTCATGTCTCCTGCATCTCAAAACCATAGCAAGGAGGGCAAAGGCACAGCCATTGCCTGTTCCTCGGGAGGAAACAGGCAACCTGCTCAGGAGCACACAGCCAGTGAACATGGGAAAAGGGGTCAGAGATCAGAAGCCCCATCCATCAGATTCACCGGCCACTGCCTTCCTCCTGTGGTCCTTCAGGAATATTCCAGGAAAGGATCCAGTCCTGTGGTTTTCCATGGGCAGCAATGCAGTGTTGCCAGGGTTGCTTTCTCACCAATTTCTCAGCATTTTACTGGCGCTGTCTGCAAGCTCATGCAGATCATAGCACGTTCCATTTCACAGATGGGCAGTCAGAGGCTCGGAGAGGAGAAGAGGCTTGCCCGAGTCCTTGAAGCAGGGTCCCTGACTCTAACTCCATGGAAAGAGTCTGGGGGGCAGGGGGGACGGTTTCGCAGGGCAGGCTCCAGCTAGCCGGTCTCTGGGTGAGGTCATCGCCTTATCAGCTAATTGCCACCCTGAGGTCTAATCCTGCCGCCCAGCTGGAACCTGCAGGAATGATTTCTTGGAGACAGGAGCTGTTATTGTCCAGATGAAAGGGCTGGAGGGGAGGGCAGGGGAAGGGGGAAAACTGACGCTCATGATTCCCTCTTGAAGCAGTTTGCTTTCTCAACAACCTCTGGGGATAATGCTTCTCAAGCCTTCTCAGGCAGGACTGAGGCTGTGTGCTGCTTCCGCATGCAGCTGGCAGAGCTGCCACCCTGTAACAGAACAGCTCCAAGGCAACCCAGCATCCTATAACACACAGAGTGGGGCTGGCAGCAGCTCCCTCTGGTGCACAGGAATGGGTGTGTGGCATTGACGGTGGAGATAAAAGTTGAGCCACAGAGCTTGAAAACTGTTACCCAGGGGAGCCTACAGGGATGGGGCTGTGTGTTGAGAAGAGGAACTGAGACTCCACAGAGGGTAGTGACAGTCTGTGACAGCCACCACGAGTCAGTGTGCTCAATGTTCCTGGTGGCACCGTGTGTTCTACAAATAACAATCGGTTGCCAACCAAGCCTGCAGTGTGCCCTACAGGCCTGGGTTCAAGTCCCAGCAAAACCCTGAAACCCAGTGCCTCTAGAAATGTTGCCCAGGGTGCCTTGCTTGCTTTACCCTCAGCCTGGCCCGTGGGACTGGTTGGTCCTCATGCTAAACTCTACTTTGGTCACCCATATGATGGGGAGAATAGTAGCTCCTACCTGGGGCGGGTGAGGATTAAATGAAAAGAGGCGGAGAAAGCACTTAGCGGTATACTGGCTGGAAGCAAGCACTTCCAGTGTTGAGCTGCGTTCTTACTCAGGGCAAGGTGCTGCTTTGCTGGCTGAGCTGATGGCAGGGAGAAAGCCCCATCCAGTAACTGACCTCAAACAGTTTGCAGTCCAGCCAGAAGTGATGTGGGAGTGAGAGGGAGCCTGCAGGACCTACCAGTGAGACCCAAGAAGCAGGATGAGAAAAGACCGATCTCCACTCCCCTAATATGGTTGCTGAAAACCAGCCAAGGTGTTTGCTGCCCTGAACAAACCCAAACCAGATGGCACCTAGGATTTTTCTCTATTTGTCTTACTTAGTTTGTACCACAATTGTGTGCTCTCCTCACTGGATAAATGAAGAAATGGAAGCTCAGAGAGGTGAAGTAATTTTCCTAAGTCCGCACAGTTTAGCATGACAGAGACTAAGGTGCAGAGCCGAGACTGAATGATTTCTTCCTGGTATCCACTGTGCTCCGTAGCTGGACTCTGCTGCCAGCTGGATGTGTGACCTTGGGCAATCAACATCTCCCTTCCAAGCCTTAGTTTCCCTACCAATCAAGGTAGAAGGTGAGGGTCACATCAACTCATGGGCGTGGCACTGCTTCACTGTCTGTGGCTGAAGGGTGATTAGGGTGTGTCACACAGAAAGCACCCAGGGGCCCCTTACCTATGATGATGACCCTGTTGGTCCCTTCCTCCCCCAGGATTGGGTCAACAGGCCTCTCTGATGTCTATTCTGCTTTAGGAGATGTAGATGGAAGCATTTTAATTGGTAGTTGTGGCTTCCATCTGCCTATGAGAAAAGTATTGTGGGATCCGTTTTACAGATGAATAAACTGAGGCACAATGAGGTAAGTCATTTCCCATGCCAAGGGGGAACCTGAGAGCGGACTTCATGCTCCAGACCCTTGTGCTGTGGTTTCTAGGTGGAAGAGAGACACCTGGGGAGAAGCCAGAGGACAGCCCTTGGAGAGCGGGTGCCCAGAGCTGCTTTCTCTCAGGCGGGATGGGGGAAGCCCCACCAAGGCCTCCAACTCCCTTCTCTCACCCTCTCTTCCTGGACTGCAGATAGCTGAGAGGTGCCAGCCCCTCCCCCTGTGATGCAAATGCCCAGCCCTTTCAGCCTCATTCTCACCTGCCTGTGAGACTTTAATTCTACACCAAGCTGCTTTCTTTAGGACAGAGGAGTCTGAAGCACAGACCTGGGCAATCATGCAAGGGGGTGATCTCAAGAGGGTGAGAGATGGGGGGCGGGAGGGTGGCTGCTGGAACAGGACCCTACTCCAGCCAAGCTGGCATCCTGATTTCTTTCTGAAGTGTTGTAAAAAATGAGACCCAGAAAGTTGTCCCAAGTTCTACAGGAAGCCAGGGGCAAAAACCAGAACCCAGAGGTCCAACACTCTGTACTGTGACCTACAAATGACAGCATTCTTGGCTACAGGCAGGCAGGGGATGCATGCACAGCTGAATCCCCCAAGGGTACAAACTGGCAGGGATCAGCTCCTCCAAAACCACAGCTCCCTTCCCTGGACTTAATGCTCCTGGGAGCCTCCCTTTTCCCCAGAGAATTGGGCGCCACCTAGAGGACACTGGGAGCCCAGCATCCTGGTTGCCAGGGGAAAGTGCCCCACCCACTGCCTCTCACAGGCCCTGCTCCCTTTGGGCCTCTTATCTGCTGAGGGGAACATTCCAGCCAGGGCCCGCAGCAGCAAAGACTTAATGTAGAACATGCCACACTTTTTTCCCATCTCAGTGTTTCCTACTCAGGCCATTTTGCCTTTCCTTTCCCCTTTTCCCAGCTCCTTGCTTTCCTTACCTTTAAAAATCTGCTGGAAGAAACAGCATCAGGTCTACAGTGTTCCTGCTGAAGATGTGAACCTGAGCCTTGTCACCAGACAAGATCCCACTGGGGACATTCTACAAAGCGGTTGGTTGGTCCTCTTCACAACATCAAGGTCATGAAATTCAAAGAAAGTCCGAGGAATGGTTGTAGACCAAGGAAACCAAAGAGATGTGACAACCAAATGCAGCAGGTGATTCTAACCCAGGAACATCTCAGGTGGGGGTGTGAGGATCCACGGGCAGGGCTGGGCCAACGGCTGCATCCTGGTTTGCAGGAGCTCCTCCTGGTTGGTAGGAAATAAATACAAAGATGTCTGGGTGAGATGAGGCATCCTATCCACTACTTACTCTCAAAGAGTTCAGGAAAGACACATCAAGGTAGTGCGTTTGTCTACAAATGTGAGACTGTTTCAATATTTTTTTAATGTAGCATCAAATATAAATAAAATGAACTAATCACTGTATGACCTCCTTCAGACTGGAATGGTGGTGAAATGAAGATTTGTAGTCACGGTACTTACTGTTCATTAAGCTCTCAGGGTTTGTTTTTTGTTTTTAAGTTAGAGAAAAACAGAGGGAGATCTTCCATTTGCTGATTCACTCCCCAAATACCCAAAACAGCCAGGGCTGGGCCAGGCCAAAGCCAGGAAACTGGAACTCCATCTGGATCTCCCATATGGCTGGCAGGGACCCAAATATTTGAGCCATCCCTGCCACCTCCCAGGGTGAACATTAGCAAAAAGTTGGAATCAGAAGTGGAGTTGGGACTCAAACTCAGACATTCTGATATAGGATTTGAACGTCCCATTTTTTTTTTTTTTGACTGACAGATAGAGTTAGACAGTGAGAGAGAGAGAGACAAAGAGAAAGGTCTTCCTTCCGCTGGTTCACTCCCCAAATGGCCACCACAGCCAGAGCTACACTGATCTGAAGCCAGGAGCCAGGTGCTTCCTCCTGGTCTCCCATGTGGTGCAGGGGCCCAAGCACTTGGGCCATCCTCCACTGCCTTCCTGGGCCACAGCAGAGAGCTGGACTGGAAGAGGATGAACCAGGACTAGAACCCGGCGCCCATATGGGATGCCAGCGCCACAGGTGGAGGATTAACCAAGTGAGCCACGGCCCCGGCCCCTTTTCTTTTAAGATTTATTTGAAAGGCAGAGAGTAACAGAGAGAGAGAGAGAGAGAGACTCCATCTGCAGGTTCACTCCCCAAATGGCTGCAATGGCCAGGGTCAGACAAAGACAAAGCCAGGAACCGGGAGCTTAATCCAGGTCTCCCATGTGGGTACAAGGTTCCAAGCACTTGAACCATCTTCTGCTACTTTCCCAGGCACATTACCATAGAGGTTTATTGGAAATGGAGTAGCCAGAACCAGTGCCCGTATAGGATGCTGGAGTCCCAGGCCTTACCCTTTGTGCCACAATGCCAGCCCCCAAGTAGCATGTTAACCTCTTTGCCAAATGTCCACCCGTAAAGGCTTTTTTTCTAAATCCCATTTTCCCCTTACATGTCCCATCTGTGAAACAGGTGTCCTGCCCCCATATTTCAGATGATTAAACTGACTCAGCATTGAAGAGACTGGCCCAAGGCAGCCTGTGGTCTCAGCACCTCACAATGCTGTTTTCCCTCCAGCTGCCCTCAGTCCAGTGCCTACCCACAGCCTAAACACTGCTGTCTCCTTTTCTCCAGTCAAAATCTTCCCACTCATCAAGACCCAGCTTTGATGCCACCTCCCAAACAAGGCTCCTTTGATTCCCTCTCTACTGGACACAGCTGTCTGTCTCCAGACCTCCCAAGCGTGAGAGCTATCCTCCTCCTGCTTAGCCATTCCTTCACTAAAGAAACACTTGCTCAGACCCTTCCACGTGGCTGGGCTTGTACCAGTGAGGCCACCGCATGGATCCTGCAGTCTGTGGTGGAAACAGAGCCTCAACATACAGACTAACAAATGCACACACAATTACAGGTGTGATGGGAGCCACATCAGGCCAGAGCAAGGGAAAGAGACAGAAAGGGGGTAACTGGGGGAGAGGAGAGTTGACCTCAGCCTCACTGTGAGAGGTGCTGCCTGGCTACAGCAGGGAAAGGAGCACTGGCCCAGGGAGCCTGTGGGACTGGTTGGGTCTCAGTGAGGACACAGAAGAAACCCAGCATGGCTAGAGGAGGGGAGGTACTAGGGGCTGGGGTACCAACAGCATGGCGGTGAGATCCCATGGGACCCAAGGCCATTCTCAAGGGATGACCCCAACCCTGCTGCAGAGGAAGTCGCTGGAGGGTTGAGAGCAGGAGAAGGCTGCAGCTGGGATCTGCATTTTTCAAAGATCACTCCAGAGCACCCTGGAGGGCCAGAGGGGACAAGAGTGGAAGCAGATGGGCCCTTATCTCTCCTTCCCTGGTTTCTGGTTGGGCCCAGCTCTTATCTTGCTTTCTAGAGAGCTCCTTGAGGCCAGGGAGGGCGCCTGTCTCAGAGGCTGCTGAGCCCAGCCTGTCCATCCTCTGCCTGACCACAGGGCCTCAGTGTCCTGGCCTATGCTGTGTTCCTGGGGACAGTGTGGGACACACTCTGCTCTCGCTGGCCCCAGAGCAGGGGGAATGTTTGACAGAGGCGTGCACGTGTACTCCAAACAGACTCTGATTCATGTTTCCAGGAGAGACTTGCAAACAGACTTCTGCCGGCCGCATCCATCAGAGGAGAGCTGGGCTCTGTAAACAAAGGCCACGGCTGTCTCTGCCTGCCACGCAGACACCCTCCCTGCCAGTCACTGGCAGTCCCAGCCCTGCCCTAGCCCTTGAGGCCAAGCTCTGTGCCAAGCCCCTCAGCACAGCCTCAAAAGCATACAGCTGGGCTGGCTTTGTGGTGTAGCAGGTTAAGCTGCTGCCTGCAGTGCCCGCATCTTGTATGGACACTGGTTCAAGTCCTGGCTGTTCCACTTCCAATCCAGCTCCCTACTAATGGGCCTGGGAAAACAGTGGAGGATGGCCCAAGTGCTTGGGTCCCTGCACGCATGTGGGAGACCCAGATGGCTCCTGGCTTCAGCCTGGCCCAGCCCCAGCCATTGCGGCCCTTTGAGGAGTGAACTAGCAGAAGGCCCCCCCGCCCCGCCAACTCTGTCTTTCAAATAAATGAATTTTATTTTAAAAAAAGAAAAGAAAAAAAAAACTTGGGGGAATGAACCAGTGAGTGGAGAATCTCCGTGTGTATTTGTGTGTGTGTGTCTGTGTGTCTGTGTATCTATGTGTCTGCCTTTAAAAAAAAAAAAAAACACAAACAGCCCATTTCACAAATTAGTATAGTCAAGCTGTCAACCCAGACACTGCAGCTATTCTGCTGTAATCAACTACGGCATTCTACTACTATAAAAGTAATGGCCGGCACCGAGGCTCACTAGGCTAATTCTCTGCCTGCGGCACCGGCACACCGGGTTCTAGTCCCGGTTGGGGCACCGGATTCTGTCCCAGTTGCTCCTCTTCCAGTCCAGCTCTCTGCTGTGGCCCAGGAAGGCAGTGGAGGATGGCCCAAGTGCTTGGGCCCTACACCCCATGGGAGACCAGGAGGAAGCACCTGGCTCCTGGCTTCAGATCGGCATAGCCCTGGCTGTGACGGCCATTTGGGGAGTGAACCAACAGAAGGAAGACCTTTCTCTCTCTCTCTCTCTCTCTAACTCTGCTTGTCAAAAAAAAAAAAAAAAAAAAAAAAAAAAAAAAAAAAGTAATGGAGGAGCTAGAGCTGTGGCACAGTGGTCAAAGCCCAGGCCTGCAGCACTGGTATCCCACATGGGCACCAGTTCCAGTCCGGCTACTCCACTTTCCATCCAGCTCTCTGCTCTGGCCTGGGAAAGCAGTGGAAGACGGGCCAAGTGCTTGGGCCTCTGCACCCATGTTCAGGACCTGGAAGAAGCTCCTGGCTCCTGACTTCAGATCAGCTTAGCTCTGGCCGTTGCAGTCATTTGGGGAATGAGCCAGCGGATGGAAGACCTCTCTCTGTAACTCTTTCAAATAAATAAAATAAATCTTAAAAAAAAAAAAAAAAAAAAAGAGGGCTGGTGCTGTGGCTCAATAGGCTAATCCTCCGCCTGTGGTGCTGGCACACCAGGTTCTAGTCCTGGTTGGGGCGCCAGATTCTGTCCAGGTTGCTCCTCTTCCAGTCCAGCTCTCTGCTGTGGCCTGAGAGTGCAGTGGAGGATGGCCCAAGTGCTTGGGCCCTGCACCTGCATGGGAGACCAGAAGCACCTGGCTCCTGGCTTCGGATCAGTGCAGTGCTCTGGCCGCAGCGCGCCATTGGAGGGTGAACCAACAGCAAAAGGAAGACCTTTCTCACTGTCTCTCTCTCTCACTGTCCACTCTGCCTGTCAAAAAAAAATAAAAAAGAAAAGAAAGAAATGATGCGTGGATTTCAAATTGCTATTTGCACCAAAATAAACTTATCTTAAAAAAAAAAAGTAATGGTAACTCACGTTGATGAGTGCTCATTGTGCTTCAAGAGTTTGACATAGATGGACTCATGTAATCCTCACAGCCCTCCTCAGGGTGAGGATTCTAATCTCCCCTTTTTTCTTTTGGGGAAACCAAAGTGATTGCCAAAGATGTGTTAGGAAAGTGCGGAAAGTGGGACTTGAACTCAGGCCAGGTGAGCCTGGAACTCAGGTGTGTCTGCTGTCTGCCGTGCGTGGCTTGTGCCCCCTTGGCCTCTGGTGTGAAGGCCAGGCCTGTCCTTCTCACCCACTTCTATCGCTGTTGGAGATGTATATAAAATCAGGCCCAGAAAAGGGCCACGACTCTGCTCCAGCCGCCACTACAGGGCAGCATGGGCTTCCCTTTCGGGAGGCCAGGAGAGGAGCTGAGAGGCCTGGGTGCCGCTGCCATTGCCTTGCTGTGTGGCCTGCAACAAGTCAGAGCCCCTGTCTGAGCCTCAGTGTCCCTGTCTGCTCAATGGGAATGAGCTGCAACCCTGAACACCTCGTAAGGCCCACAGGAGAAACAAGTGAGGGGGTGGGGCCCTGGGTGGGTTTTCTGGCCCAGATTCCTGTTCCGTGAATGGAATGTCCAAGCAGCGTCATTCTGGGGTTTAAGGCCCAGGGGTGGAGCTGGGCTGGGCCTCTTCTTCCAGGAGACCCCCCACCTTGGGCTCCAGCCCAAATTGCCAGACACAGGCCTGAGAGGAGGCCCCCCTCCAGGCAGGGGTGACCAGGAGCCAGCCGGCTGGCCATTTGTGCACAGATGGGTGTGCAGATAACAGGCGTCTGGAGATAAGGCAGGGCCTGCTCCCAGCCCAGCAAAGAGCCAGGCCCAGCAGTGGAAAGGTGGGGGCTCAGGGTGACTCAGGCAGAGTGGGCTGGACACCGGGCCATGAGGCCTGGCATGGCTCTCTTCCTACCACCCTTGTGGAGGGCTGCTGTCTTCCCTCTTATGGGACCTGTTTCCACCTCCAGCAAAACAAAACAGAAACAAGCCAGCAAACAGAAAACATCTATTTCCATTAGAAGCACTGCTCGAGCTGGAGAGAGCTGGGGCTGACACCAGGGCCCACTGACTTATCTGGCAGCCTGCATAAAATCACAACTGAACTCCAAGTCCTTACATCCTCACCTATGTCGTGGGTGCGGTGCTCTCTTCCTCACCTCCCTCCACCGCCCCCCCCCCAAATACAAGCAACAATAAACAACTCACACTGTGCTGACTGTGAAGTAGGTAACTGTGAATATCCCTACTTGACAGAGGAAGAAACTGAGGCATGGAGGGGATAGGTTATACAGGTATAATAAGTGGTAAAACCAGGACTCAAATTCAGACATTCTAATTCTAGTGGTGGCTCTTAAAAAAAAAAAAGATTTATTTGATTTTATTTGAAAGGTGGAGTTACAGAGAAAGGGACAGACAGAAAGATCTTCACTGGTTCACTCTCCACATGGCTGCAATGTCTGGGGTTGGGTCTGAAGCCAGGAGCCAGAAGCATCTTCTAGGTCTCCCATGTCGGTGCAGGAGCCCAAGGATTTGGGCCATCTTTCACTGCTTTCTCAGGTGTATTAGCAGGGAGCTGGATCTAAAGTGGAGCAGCCAGACTCAAACCAATGCCCATAGGGGATGCCAACATTACAGGCAGTGGCTTCACTTGCTACACCAGAACTCTGGCTACTGGTAGGCTCTTACCTGCTGGAATGCCTCTGCCAATATCATTAAAAGAATCAGGAAAATTGCAGTTGGAGTCCATTTTGGTTTTTAACATATACACATTTATGTTTATGTATCTAAAGACATTTTTGGAAAAAGATACAGTCAAATAATGACAGTGCTGGTACTCATCTAGAGCGGAGTTTCGCAACCTGGCTTACTGTTGTTGACATTTCGGGTAGGATAACGCCTGCATGTGTGTGTCGAGGGGGGAGCTTTCCTGTGCCCTGCAGTATGTCGAGCAGCAAGCCTGGCCTCTGTGAGAAATTGGGGTCAAACCATCGCTTCCCTCGCCCCAGCTGTGACAACCAAAAATGCCTCCAGACATTGCTAATCATTCCCTGAGAGCACACCCCACTATTTCCACCCCCCCCCCAACCCTGGCTGAGAATCAGTGATCTGGAAGGGATGCCCAAGAGAGATGTTCGTGTTGAAAGCCCTGCACTGAAAACTTTGTCCTGCACAAATCGGACACATTGAAATCAGGAAAACACCAGTAAAGATGAAGTTGCAGGAAGATCACTGGATGGTGGATGGATGGGTGGCACAAAAACGTATGGCCATAGACTGAAGGAGCCACATGAAAATCAGAACCTGGGTGTTTTGGGGTGAGGGGCATTTTGAGGCCATCAGAGAGTTCCTGTACTTTACAGCTGAGGAAAGGGAGGCCCCCAGAAGGGGGACTGGCTGAACTCACCCACAGCCTGATGCAGGGTGAGACAAATGCCTGGGTTTGTGGACTCCGAGTCCAGAGCTCGGAACTCAAGAATGTCAAAAAGCAAATGGGAGAGTAGCTTTGGGTAGAAAACTTTCCTGCTTTTGCCACTAGAGATGCCTGAGGCTGGAGGACGCCTTTAGGTGACAGCTGGCATACCCTGGATACATGGAACTCCACAGGGGGTGTGGTTCTCAGGGAATCCACAACATAGAGGGTAGATGTGGCAGTCTGTGCCGAGGCCCAGAAAGGGGAAGACTCTGCTCCAGGGCTCAATGTGTGCAGCCTGGGAAGGCCGACAGGGACCAAAACATGCTGGGGTGACCCCTGAGCATCCAGCCAAGGAGAAAGCGGGAGATCTAGGGCTACCCGGAATAGGAAGACCACAAGGTGTTTTTGTTTTTGTTTTTTTTTAGGATTTAATTATTTAAAAGGGGGTAAAGAGAGAGAGAGAGAGAGATCTCCCATCAGCTATTTCACTTTCCAAATGGCTAAAACACCCAGGTCTGGGCCAGGCCTAAGCTAGGAGCCAGCAACTCCATCTAGATCTTCTGTGTGGGTGGCAGGGGCCCAAGAAACAGAGCTATCACCTGCTGCCTTCCCAGGCTTATTAGCAGGAAGTTGGACAGGAAGTAGAGCAACTGGGACTCAAACCGGTACTCCAGTATGGGATGTAGGCATTTCTTGCTGTGGTTAACCCACTGTACCACAATGCCTACCCGTGGCCATGGTTTTTAGAGGAGAATCTCTTCCAGAGAATACGGTAGTGGAGATGAGAGCCCTTCTTTGCCGAACACTTAACGGGTGCCCAAGGTCCCCAGTGTGTCCTCAGGGTGGTAGCAGGATTCCACCATGAGGCTCCAAAGCCTGTGCTCCAACCATGACACTGTACCCCAGCGGACCACTACACTGAGCATTCACTCAAGTCCTGCAGCAGCACTGTACACAGTCAATACGAGGTGGCAGCAACCCAAGGGCTCACTGATGAACAAACGGACAAGTGTAGAACATGCATACAATAGAATCCTAGCAGCTTTCAAAGAAGCGGTCCTGCCATATAGGTGAACCTCAATGACTACCCTAAGTGGAAGAAGTCATGACAGAAAGGTGAACACTGTGATTCCACTTACACAGGGAGCTGGGAGTCTTCAGACTCACGGGAACAGAAGGCAGAATGGTGGGGACGGAGAGTGGGGAATGACTGCCTAATGGGTGGCATTTCAGTTTTGCAAGATGAAAAGAGTTCTGGAGACTGGTTGCACCACATGAGTCTACTTACTTCCACTACATTGCACACTTAATGGTGAAGATGATAAAATGGTGGAGATGATAAATAGTTATGTTATATACGTTTTGCCACAGTTTTTATGAAAGGATGAGGCGGAGGTGGGTGCTGTGGCACAGGTGGTAAGCTTCTGCTTGAGATGCCTGCATCCCACGGAAGCGCCTGGGTTTAAGTCCCACCTCCAGTACTGATCCAGCTCCCTGCAACTGTGCCTGAGAAGGCAGTAAATGACGGCCCAAGTCCCTAGGCCCTTACCACCCACATGGGAGACCTGGATGGAGTTCCTAACACCCGGCTCCTGCCTGACCCAACTCTGGCTATTGCAGCTTTTTAGGGAGTTAACCAGCAGATGAAGATTCTTCTCTCTCTCTCTCTCTCTCTTTTTCTCTCCGCCTTTCAAATAAATAATCTTAAAAAAAAATTTAGGAGGAGTCTCTTTCAAAAGAAACGGACAAGACAGATCGTTAGTTCCTTTGGGAAACAGAAACTGATTTCAGGAGAGAGGGTGAGGCTATAGGGGCCACACCCCTGTACAACTGGGGAAATGGGAACTTAGGTCTGGACGAGAGGCGAAGAGGGGCCCAGTCGGCCTGAAGACTGGGCGGCACCGGGAGGCCTACGGGCAGCGGTGCCTCCACGCCGCCACGCCTCTGACGCCCAGTCAGCCCGACCGCAAAGCCAGAAAGATAAAGTTGGAAGGAGAGCAGCAGCTGGAGCCTCCAGCACCTCTGCACTCCCAGAGTGGCGACTGACCTCAAGAGAAGAGCGGCTGGCCGCTGACGCTTCCGCCTTCCACCTCCTCAGCTTCCTCTTCCACCCACTCCAACCGGAAGCTCTGCTGTGAAGAGCATTCTGGGAAACACGGCTTACCCAAGAGGGCAAGAACAAACCTCCCTGGGCTGATGGAATGCTGTAGACACGGTTAGTGGAAACCAGAGTGAGTGTGGACGGCAGATACATGATTTTTGTATTAGCGTAAACTGCACAGAACACAAGCAGTACCGTTGTAACCATTTTTTAAGTGTGGGTCAGCGCTGTGGCTCACTTGGTTAATCCTCTGCCTGCGGTGCCAGCATCCCAGGTTCTAGTCCCGGTTGCTCCTCTTCCAGGCCAGCTCTCTGCTGTGGCCAGGGAGTGCAGTGGAGGATGGCCCAAGTGCTTGGGTCCTGCACCCGCATGGGAGACCAGGAGAAGCACCTGGCTCCTGGCTTTGGATCGGCACAGCGCCGGCGTAGCAGCCATTTGAGGAGTGAACCAACAGAAGGAAGACATTTTTCTCTCTCTCTCTCACTGTCTATATCTCTACCTGTCAAATAAAAAGAAGAAGAAGAAAGTGTAGGCTTCAGCAGCATTCACGTACATTCACAGTGCTGCCCAGTCCACACTACTATATTCTCCAGATCTTTTCATCATCCCACGTGGAAACTCCAGGCACATGATTCTTTTTTCTATTAGTTTTTTTTTTTTGACCGCAGAGTGGACAGTGAGAGAGAGAGACAGAGAGAAAGGTCTTCCCTTGCCGTTGGTTCACCCTCCAATGGCCGCCGCGGCCGGCGCACCGCGCTGATCCGATGGCAGGAGCCAGGAGCCAGGTGCTTCTCCTGATCTCCCATGGGGTGCAGGGCCCAAGCACTTGGGCCATCCTCCACTGCACTCCTGGGCCACAGCAGAGAGCTGGCCTGGAAGAGGGGCAACCGGGACAGAATCCGGCGCCCCAACCGGGACTAGAACCCGGTGTGCCGGCGCCGCTAGGCGGAGGATTAGCCTAGTGAGCCGCGGCACCGGCCCTAGGCACATAATTCTTAAGGGCACACACACACCCTCTACTTCTGCATGCGGGAAAGATACTCTGGAAACTAGCAGTGCTCCAGGGTGGGTAGACTGGCAGCTAGGGGTGAAAGAGATGCTACTGTTAGAGACTTATGTTTCCTGTCGTATTCTTTCAAAAGTTGATTTGCCTCCTGGAGGCTGCCCTAACCCCTGAATTCTGATTGAGTTGAGCAGAAAGCCATTCTCCCCTTTTTCAAATGGCTCAGAACATTGACGCTGTCTTCTTTCCCCACAGGGAATACCCACATTCTGACACAGTTTGGTCTGGCATAAAGATGGCTGTACTGTGTGACCCATCGTGTGACTAAGGCAGATCCCTACCCATCTGGGGCCTCTATGTCTCCATCTGCACAAGCAAAGGTTTAGCATAGATGGAGCCTAGAAATCCATGATGCTCAGACCCTCTGGGATGTCTTGATTCTAATCAAAGTTTCAGAATTCTGACCACCCCCTCCCCCAAGTGCCGGAGGAAGTTGAGACATAGGGAGATAGAAGGCATGGCCCAGAGCTACTTGGAGAGACAGCAACGGAAATAGGATTAGAAATGAGAGTTCCCTCCCAATGCAAAGAAAGGGGTCTGAGGTGATACGCCAGTTACCCTGATCTGATTGTTAGAAATTGTGTATATGTATTACAGTGTCAACTCTTACCTTATAAATATGTATAATTACTATGTATCAGTTAAGGATAAAATATATTTTAGAGGCCTACGTTGCAGTGGCTTAGCCGGTTAAGCCATACCTGCAGGGCCAGCATCCCATATGGGCCAGTTAAAGTCCCGGCTACTCCACTTCTGATCTGGCTCCCTGCTAATGTGCCTGGGAAAGCAGCAGAAGACAGGGCCAAGTCCTTTGGCCCTTGCACCCAAGAAGGAGACCAAGAGGAAGCTAAGGCTCCTGGGCTCGGACTGGCCCAGCTCTGACCGTTGTGGCCATTTGGAGAGTCAATCAGTGGATGGAAGATTTCTCTCTGTCTCTCCCTTTCTTTCTCTTTGTAATTCTTTCAAATAAATAAAAATAATTTTTAAAAAGAACAAGAAAAAGAAACAGGTGAGTAGATGTTTAGCTTAGCAGTTATGAACTTGTAGTTCATAAAGGGATACCTGAGTTCAATTCCCTGCTTGGGCTCCTGACTCCAGCTTCCTGCCTACATAGTTCCTGGGAAACAATGGCAATAGCTCAAGTAATTGGGTTCCTGCCACCCATATTGGAGTCTTGGGTTGAGTCCCTGGCTTTCAGTCTTGATCGAGCTTAGACTGAGCCACTTCAGGCATTTAGGGAGTATACCTATGCATGGGAGCTCTCTGGCTCTTTCTGCTTAAATAATTTTCTTAAAAAAAAAAAGATTTATTCATTTATTTGAAAGGCAGAGTTACAGAGAAAGAAAGACAGAGAGAGGAGTAGCAAGAGAAAGAGATCTTCCATTCACTGGTTCTCTCCCCAAATGGCTGCAACAGCCAGAGTAGGGCCAGGCAATAGCCATAAGCCAGGAACTCCATCCTGGTCTCCCACATGGGAAGTAGGGACCCAAGTACCTGGGCCATCATCTGCTACCTCTCAGGTGTGTTAGCAGGGTGCTGGAACAGAAGGGGAGTAGTCAGGACTCAGACTGGTATTCCAATCTGGCATCTCAAGCAGTGACTTAATCTGCTACATCACAATACCCACCCCACAAATAAATTTTTTTAATTAAAAAGAGAGAGAGAGAAAGAGAAATTTCTCAGTTACTTTCTATATCTGAGCAGCCCCAAATATGCTCAGTTTCAGTAATAGACCCAACTTGGGAATCATGGAATACCAGACTTGTTATTTTTGTGTTGTTTTTTCTTCTCATATAATAAAATATGCTCCAAGTGATTCAGCAGCAGATGTTCACTTTATATCAAGTAAAAGTCATTGAACTGGGGCTGGCACTGGGGCACAGTGAGTTAAAACCCCAGCCTGCAGTGCCGACATCCCATATGAGCGCATGTTCAAGTCCCAGCTGCTCCTCTTTCAGCCCAGCTCTCTGCTATGGCCTGGGAAAGCAGTAGAGGATGGCTCAAGTACTTGGGCCCCTGTACACACATGGGAGACCCAGAAGAAGCTCCTGGCCCCTGGCTTTGGATCAGCTCAGCTCTGACTGTTGCAGTCATTTGAGGAATGAACCAGCAGAATGGAAGACCTCTCTCTCGCTCTCTCTCTGGCTCTACTTTTCCCTGTCACTCTTTCAAATCAATAAAAATAAATCTATATTTTAAAGTTATTGAGCTTACCCCTCTTTGAGAACCCGGATCTGGTCCAGCACAATACAAGGAGCAGGTGTGTCGGTGTCCTTGACGAGGGCTGCAGCCTGACCTTCAGATGCATACAGACTCATTCAAGCAGCAGCTCTCCCAGTGCCTGGTAAGCGCTGTGTGTGAACTGTAATTATTATCACATACTGCAAAATGAAAGTACTGCACACTATGAAATAAAAATAAACTTATTTTTGCCTTTAAGAAAATGCATATCATATGCATTTAATTAGGCATGGAATATATCCAGAAAGATTCATGACACAGTGATCACAGCAGCTGCCTAGGGCTGGGACTGAAGACCTGGGGGTTGGGAGAAGGGGGTGTAGTCTGCATTTTATACTGTAGAAGTTGCTTTTTAACCTTACACATGTATACTTTAAAACAAAAAGGCTGGTAATCAGCATCGTAGTGCAATGGGTTAAGCTGCCACTTGTAACACCAGCATCGTGTATCAGAGTGCTAGGTTGAGCCCTGGCTGCTCTGCTTCCAACCCTGCTCCCTGCTAATGCACATGAGAGAGCAGCAGAAGATAGCTTGAGTGCCTGGGCCACTGCACCCACATGGGAGACCCAGACTGAGTTCCAAACTCCTGGCTTCCTGGCTGTTGAAGCCTTTGGGGCTGTGAAGGTATTTTTCTCTCTCTGTATTCTATGTGTGTGTATGTGTGTGTGTGTGTGTGTGTGGTGTGTATGTCCATGCCTTTCCCTCTGTACTCTGTCACTCTGCCTTTAAAAATAAATAAAACTAAATCTTTTTTTTTTTTAAATAGGTTGACACACAGAAACACAAAGACTGCATAATCTCATTCTCATGTGTAATCTAAAAAAGTTGATGCACGGAAGTTGAGACAGAACACTAGTTAACAGAGGCTGGGGAGAGCAGGGGTGCGGGAGGGATGAGGAAGAGGGGGTTGATCTATGGGTTCTACACTAGAGTTAGGTCAAAGGGAGAAGTTCTGGTTTTCTGTTGCACAGTACGCTAACTATAGACACTGATAATGTAAAAAAGAAAACACTTGGGAGAAAGGATTTGAATGTTTCTACCACAGAACCATTTTAAATGTTCAAGGAGACAGAAATGTTTATTCTGATTGGAACATTACATAATGCATACCTGTATTGAAACATTACATATACCCCATACATTTTTAGATGTTAGTAAAAAATAATAAAAATGAGTACATTTTAAAAATTAAAAGGGCGGCCGGCGCCGCGGCTCACTAGGCTAATCCTCCGCCTTGCAGCGCCGGCACACAGGTGTCGCTCCCCCTCTTCGTGGAGGAACGACACAGGACCCTGCGCTGTTCTTCTGTCTGCTCGGCCCTCCCCGGGTTTGCTGCTGGTTCTTCCTGGGTTGGCTACTATCCCTTCCACCTCCGTGGAAGGGCAGTTCCCCCTGGCTGCTTTCCCCACTTCCGCAGGGGAGCGGCACACCGCCGGCCGGCTCTCTCGGGGGCTGCACAGGTGTTCCCCTTAGATGTTCCTGGTGCATGCCGTCTCTCTCCTCCTTTATAGTCCTCCTCCGCCAATCCCAACTCGGCTGCCCACACGCCGAGTACGCTGCTCTCCAATCAGGAGCAAGTCCTACAGTTTATTGGTTGAACTGGAGGCAGCTGTGTAAAAGCTGTTTTCTTCTCTCCCAGCGCCATATTGTGGGAGAGCAGATGCATAGAATAAGTCTTAATTCCAGTAACAGTATAGTCCGAATTGCTCCCCACACACAGGGTTCTAGTCCTGGTCGGGGTGCCGGATACTGTCCCGGTTGCCCCTCTTCCAGGCCAGCTCTCTGCTGTGGCCAGGGAGTGCAGTGGAGG